CCCCCCCCCCCCCCCCCCGCCCCCCCTCTTATTTGCAATTCCCCGGCTTTCCCCCTCCCGGCCCCGACGCAGGGCTTTTATTTCGCCTTCTGGCTCCCCGCAAAGTTTCGGGGGTGCCGTACAAAGAGCCTCGTCTCGTCTCCTCGTGTGAGCTGCGACACGAAATAGATAACTGGCTGTGCTTGTCTTGCCGTTCAGGCGGCCAAGAAATAAAGGCGAGCGCTGAGGTGAATGTATGCTCTGGGGAGACGAACGCTGTCTGTTTTCGTGGAGAGAATGACCTACAGTGTGTTCGTACTTCTTTTGTATGCGCGGCAGCTTTCGGGGAGAGGGAGGATGAAAGGCATACTGTTCTAAGGGATAGAAAAGCGCCAAGTAGTGCTGGCTTTATTTCTGAACAAAGCTTTTCTTCCCACTAGTCTCACCCCCGCTTCTGCGACCCTGTTTGGATCTTCATAAGATCTAAATAAGTCTTTGGATGAGAATTCCTCTGAAGGATTATACTGCACTGAGTTCTTTTAAAGACCAAAACCAAATGTCCTCTCGTTTGTTGCTTATCAACTAAAACTAGTATAAACAAGTTGGTTTATGATTCTTGTTGAGGTCCTAAAGATTTTCCAACCCGTAGCCTTTTGAACGTGTTAAGAGAGACCAGTTTGGAATGACTAACATACTACAATATGGGTTTTCTGTTGTTATGAATGGGTAGGTTGTGTTTCTGTTTTTAACAGAGCTATCATGTTTGTATGTGTAAATATTAAATCAATTCACTTGAACTTTAGGAGTTATATTTTACTGTTTCTTTGAATTCTATTGGGGGGGCTGTTTTTTAAAAACAACTTCTTTCAAGCAAGTCAGGCATTTATTTAGATTGGCATTTTGTCAGGATGAGAGTAATCATATAGTCTAGTTTATTATTTCTAGTGATAGTTTATTCCATGTGCTCTTTGATAGCAAATAACATGCATCTGTTTAAATATATTGCATAGTGTGTCCAAAATTATCCTTCCTCAAATAAAAGAAGATTTGTAAGGTATTTATCAACTCCAAATTTGAAAAAAAAATCATACATTACTTCCATTTGTTCTGAACTCATATTCTTGGCAATCTGTATGCCATGACCCTAACATTCCATATTGATGACTTGTTCATTGCATTCTAAAGAAGCCTGGCTAAGAGGAAATAGTGCAAATTATTCAATTAAGCTATGCCAGTTTTATTATTCATTAAAGGATTTTCAACATGACAGGTTTCTGGTACATTATTCTTTTGTAGAAGGATATATGTGTAAAAAAAAACATAATGTCAAAATATTTCTTTTTCAAAGTAAGGTTTTCAGAAAAAAAAAATTTGGTACTAACTAAACTTATTTTCATGAGACTTCCCTGAAACTTAACTAAGAAAGACATGTGCAATTCAAGGTGTTATCATCTACAAAGTCTTACATGGCTCTGGGCCTGGCTATCCATGGGATTGTTTTTCTCCAAATACCCCTCCCCATCCTATAAAATCTAAGTGGGCATGATTCTGGTCCCTTCAGTTAAACAATTATCTTGTGGAATCAAGAGGTGTGCATTCTCTGTTGCTGTTCCTCCTCCCACTTATTCCTCCAGAGGTCCATTTACCCCAATCCTGGCTCCACTTTAGAAAGGCACAGAAAACCTCACTTTGAACACGCCATGGGATGAGATGTATGTGATCGTGATGAGTGGTGGCTGAAACTTTTTTTATGTACTTCCCAGTAGTGTCATTTAATTTTTTAAACTACCTTTTGCATTCTGATTGTTTTCATTGAGTTTTTAATGTAAGCCACCTTGAGTCTTTCTAATTTGGCAGACGTAAATGTTCAGTATGTGGAAGCTTTCATTAAATGTGACGTATTCATTGTATAATTAAAAGTATGTTTGACAAGCTAAATAGAATATATTTCTGAATTTGAATGATACTACCAGTATAGAAGAGCAAGTTTTACCAATCCTGGTACTACTACTTTCTTGATTTTCAAAATTAACAAATGGAAAAATGCATCTTATTTCTTCCTAGATAGCAGGGCAGAAATACCTATATATAAGGTGGTTTGACTAGTTAGATATTATAGAATGAGATAACTGGAACTGACTGGCCGCTGGACAGACATTCTTACTTTGGAGTGGAAGTATGAAAAAATGATAAATACAGGCAAACTGGCAAATAAGCAATAAAAGTGCAGCTCAGTATCCTTCATTATTGTAGTTATTGCAGTGAGGAATAGTAGAGCTGCTGTACCTGAAGGTAAAGATATACAGGTAGTCCTCGCTTAATGACTGTTCATTTAACAGTCTTGGAAAAAGTGCTTTACAACCTGTACTTGCATTTATGATCATCACAAAGTGATGATCATCACCTCCCGCAGTCACATGATTGCAATTTGTGAGCTTTTCTACAGTGGACATTAAATGAATCACCATGGTTGTTAAGTGAATCATGTGGTTGTTAAGCAAATTCCAGCAAAAACTATCCATTGGGGAAGCTGGATTCGCTTAACGACCACATAATTTGCTTAACAGCCGTTGTAAAAAAAAAGTTGTAAAATCAGCTCCAGTCACGTGACAATTCACTTAATAACCAATCACTTAGTGACCTAAATTCCAGTCCCTATTGTGGTCATATAGCGAGGACTACCTGTATACTGCTTCTATTTCAGAATACTGTTAAAATGGAAGTGTTCCACTATATCTCCTCATTCTCTGCAAATAAAATAGTCTTTCCTGTGTCTTGTTGAAAGCCTAGTGAGATGTTGGTGTCAAAAGTAGGAATACATCTTGATTTTGCACCACTTTTATATCGATAGCCATAGTGATGAAGCCATATTATATGACCAAGGGAAAAAGTTGGGGTTGTCAAGGTGTGATATGCCACAGTAGGGTCAGGGCCTTTGTGTATATTCATTTCCCATTCTCTTTGATTCATGATATAGGTCTGTTCAGAAGCTGAGGAATAAAATTTAAGCAAACTTTACAAACAGCTTGTGTCAAAGCAGCAACAACTAGTCTTTCACTATCGTGTCTTAGAATACAACAGGGGATTATTTCAAGCACTGCTGGTTTGAAGGCTGAAAAATCTAGAATGAGTTCTCATCTTTGCACCTAAAAAGAATCATGAAAGATCCATCTGCAGCTATTTTCTGGTGCACACATTGGAGGTGACCCTGAACTAAAAAGAATATGCTTTTGAGTAAATATAAACTCAATACATGGGGTTGCAAGATTGATCTATAATTCCTCCATTTACTATTTGCTCTGCTTCTATCAAACAAACATTCTAATGGAAGCCACTCTTATAAATGGATGTTGCTGTGAGAAAAGATTATTTGTTTAATGAAATAGTCTATTTTTACTTGAATTAAACTGTAGTATAGAGATGTCTCTGAATTTTATATTGCAAATATTGGGCTTTCATTTTTAAGCATGTATATTGCTGAGTTGCGTAGTGAAAATGTGCCACAGGGAAGAACAGCTTGCTTTCATATATCTTCTTAGTCACACTTCTAAAGGAAGTAGTATTAGCATCATGGGTGCTGCTATCAGATTGCTTGTTATGCAAAGGTGTTACACCAGCTCATATTTAATGCAACATATTGCACATGTGTTAAATTTGTAAGTAGCTCAATAAGGGAAAACAGATTTAATATCTAAGTTACTATGGTAATCCCACTAGACCAAGAATTGCTAAAATACAACTGTGCCAAGCAGTAACTTCCATGGGCTTTATTGTTCCAAATAGTTATAGAGTATAGTGTCCATTTAGAAAGTACCACTTGCACCAGCTTTCAATAAAAGCATGACTTGAATTTTCTTAACTAAAATTCATATATCTAAAACTAAATGAAGTCCTGTTGAAAAAATGAAAGTTCCTGTTTCTACATAAAATTCTGCTTTGTCCATAAACTTGTTTTGCAGTCTTATATTGCGTGTGGCATTTGCTACTGTATAATACCATTGCTAGTACTGTAATAAAATGTTCTTGTACTTCTGAGAAAGTGTGCATAGATTTATTATAATATCCATCTAAATTACTTCTTAAAAGAAACCAGACACAGGAATTGCAGACACTTCGGCTATCTAAAGTTTTGTTTAATTCCTGCTGCTCTTGTTTTTCAAGAAGGGGAAATAAACATTCATCATAATTTTTAAAAATTGCCTAATCAAAAGTCTTGTTATTAAAGAAGATCATAGAATTCTTGGTATAGTAATGTACTAATTCTGGTTAGAATAGGGTGTCCAATGCAGTGATGTTTTAAAGATACCAATGCTATTAGTAAATAAGGCTTTTAAACTTACAACAACAATAAAAATCCAACAGAAGTTACAAGCCCACAGTTGAAACAGAATCAAACTAAAGCCAATTAAATGCCAAACAAAACGAAAAAGAATCATACTCTGGTGCCTAAAGTTATGTGTGAGGCCAGACATTTTGAAAAGTAGTCAGTATTCAGATATAAAGCAGACAAAAGTGGCTGGATTCAATGGCAACCCTCATTGTTCCTGTCTGTGACTCTCCTTTTGCTTGTGTCTCATGATTGCTGCATAGGCCCGGGAAAATAAGATACTAAGAAGAGATAAATAAATTGTTTTTTATGGAGTTAAGATTCAAGTATTGTAAGATATAACCATGATTTTAAACCATTGTTTGTGATTTAAGTTACAATTTAGTTTGGTTAAAATGTTCACCTGATGCACTAATAAAAAGTAAACAGATGTGATATGCTGTTGGGATTGTATAAAATGGCTTGGCTTGTGGATTTTGGCATATTGTTTTTCACCTGGCATCTCAGCAACTTTTGGGAATGGGGGTGGGGTTTAAAAACTAATGGTGGCTCAGTTGAGGTTATAATTGGATAACCCATATCAGACAAGAGAAGTCAGGATCTCTTTCCCTTCCACTACTGCTCTTTCTCTGTACACATGCAGCGGGTAAAAGCCAGGAGAAGCAGATAAGATGTTGCTAGAGCAAACCCATTTTGGGATTACTCCATTGTAATTGTAGTTATCCAACATCACCTGGTTATTCAGAAGTCAAAAAGCTGAGTCACCTCATTAAACATTTAGAAACATATGATGCAGTGGCTGAGAAGTAAAACAGCAAAAGCTATGGATATAAATTATGATTAAGGCTTTTTTCTTTAGCTGTTGTCTGGATTCATGTCTCCTGATAGGTCTAAAGTTGCCGTGATTTATACCATATGAACCAAGTTTTAAAATAATCTTTGAGAAAATTAGATGCTGATTAGTCTTCTGAGGGGCAGAATGTCAAATTTAATGTGTCTCATTGGTAAATAAGTCTGTAAAATAAGATTAATATAACTATTGAGGGCAATTACATCTTGTGACTATAGGATACTCAAGATCACTATATATTAATAATTAGATAAGTTTCATTTTCCTAGAATGTTTGGTGGGATAATTTATTATCAAGATAAGAGATCAGCATAGTTTTCCAAACAGAGGTTTTCATCTGTTATGGCATAGTGATACTTGTGTAAGTATAAAGATGATTCCATATATTGAATCAAATAAAAACAAACCAGAAGCAAGTTGTTATATACCAACCATACACCCACTCCTCATTTAGCGACCAGATCATTAAGTGAAATGGTTGCTAAGTGAACACGTGAGAAAGAGAGAAAAAGATGCTGCCACCTCATTCAGATAAAGTTTTGTACAGCTACTCCAGCGTTACTCTCACTCTGGCATGTGTTGTCAAACATACGAAATTTGGTTGTAAATGCACACATCAGTCAAAAAATGAATTTTTATTACCATTGTATTTGCAAATGGTCTAGGTAGTTGCTAAATGAGGAGTTTACCGTTGTATTAGCTAACTAACTTAGGTAGTTGCTAAATGAGGAGTGGATGTATTGTCTGAAAAGGTATATGTGGCTCATGGGTAAGATTTTAACTTATATCTTCACTTTTAACTTCAATATTTTTAAACCAAAAAATGCCATTTGCATCTTTTTCAATATTTTATCATTGTGGCCTGTTATTTTTATATCGGAACCATCAGAATACAATAGTTTTCAAACTTGTTGAGTTTGGATCATTCTGAAAGTGCTCCATCTCATACAGCAAGATAACGGTATTTGATCCACTCCTCTAACTTTTCTAAAATTCCTGTTATATTTGTATTTGAAAATGTTTTTTATGGAATTCCTACTGGAAGGTAACATTCTTTCCCTCTTATTTCAGATTGGAAGATGAACAATCTTTCATTTAGTGAACTCTGCTGCCTATTCTGTTGTCCACCATGTCCAGGAAAAATAGCTTCCAAACTGGCATTTTTGCCCCCAGACCCGACATATACACTCATGTGTGATGAAAGTGGGAGTCGTTGGACTCTACATCTTTCTGATCGAGCAGACTGGCAATATTCTTCTAGAGAAAAAGATGCTATTGAATGTTTCATGACTAGAACCAGCAAAGGTAACAGGATTGCCTGTATGTTTGTGCGTTGTTCCCCTAACGCCAAGTATACTTTACTTTTCTCGCATGGGAATGCTGTTGATTTAGGTCAGATGAGCAGCTTTTACATAGGACTTGGTTCACGGATTAATTGCAACATATTTTCCTATGATTATTCTGGATATGGAGCAAGTTCTGGAAAACCGACAGAGAAGAACTTGTATGCTGACATCGATGCTGCTTGGGTAGCTCTTAGAACAAGGTAAATAGAGTTACATTATTTTACCAAGTTAGTGGAATTTTTGTTTATTCTCATAGTGAATTTGACTGAGTCTTGATCTATATCACTGTGTGCATAACAGATCTAGTGGAAGTTTCCCAGCCCTCCTGAAAAAGTTTATCTGAGCATCAGAGAATTCTGAATGGCTCAAGCATGGCATGGGGACTGAGGGGAAAGGTAGAAGTAGTGTCTATGTGCTGCAATGCCTGTAACTGTCAGTGCTCAGCTTTTTTTTGTTGTTGTTCAGTCCCCCATTTCAGAGCCCATGCTATTCAGCAGGTTCTTCCAATCCTCAGGGAAAACCTGTTGGGAAATTGCAAGAGATAAGACATGTGAGTTTGCTCAGATATGGCTATAGCCCTTTGAGAGATTTCTATTAATAGTCTGTGCATATTGTCCTTTTTTACCCACTGAGTAAGATAAGGGACATATTACTAATTGGTGGTAAATTATGCTTTTGTTTACCATATGGCAGTGGAGTTCAAATTAAATAGGTTAATAGTGTATTAATTTTATTTTTCCCTGGCAAGGAAAATCAAGTGAGAGGTGTTACATTGAATCAGTGCTTCAAGTTAATTCATATGTTTAGAAAGTAAATTATTGGAACCAAGCTGTTTAAGTGCAGTAGGGATTCTATATTTGAATGCTTTCTTATATTAAAAAATATTGTTTAAGTTCACATCATTCTAAGGCATCACATAATTTATTTAGTTTTAGCAGTGTATTACAGAAATCCAAACATTTTGATTTGTAAACCATGTTATATGGCTTGCTGTTATGTATGAACCATATCACTAGGGCAACAACTAATTAAAATAAAAAAGAATGGTTTAGCATGATATTGTTGAACCCAGCTATTGTGTTCTGTGGCTTGAACATCAAGAATGAAAGTGTGCCAATCTTAATGTGCCATTCTAATATGCATATTTGGAGACATATTTAAGGATTTTTTTTTTTTTGGACATACATAAATCTTTCTGAATAAAAACTTACAGATAACTAAGACTTCTATATTTTTGCTCTGTTCATTTTTTATATTATGAGGATGA